TGACCTATGGCGGATTTTATTTTGTCATGTTTACAATATTTAAGCAAAAAGCTCCTGGATTAAAGGTCTGTGCTAGGGCTGAACCACACCATAGCTAGAGGCAGATTTTTCCAGCAAAATAATGAAATATCTGAGTTCACAGTGTGATCAAATATCCTGCAACATTTATCTCTGTGTAATGAGAAGGTTTTAGAAGTTGGTTTAATACTGTATTCACTTAGTAGAATAAACGAACATTTAGTACTAGGTTCTCCCCTATGGCCTCTAACTTGTCAAGCCATAGGCTTTTAGCCCCAGTCATGATGTCAGTTATAGAAGGAGACAGAAACAGTCATTCTGAGTGAGGTATCTCAGAAATAGGCAAATACTTTGTGGCTCCTATCATTTTTGGATATTAGTGTTGAATCTTCAGTTATGAGTGCTTCTCTTGGAATACCTATAAAAGTCAGAAAATTAGTAAGTGACTGGGGGCCACTTCCAAGGGAGGGGAGATGAGCTGTCTTGGTATAAAGAGGTAAAGAGGAATAAAGAAAATTAAAGGGTTAAATGGGATGAGAGGTATCAGGACAGGGTAAAAGAAGAAAAACAGGGAGAAATAAATAATGCTAAAGACATATTAAAAAATTCTTAGAGAAACTTACAACTATAGAAGCTTCCTAAAACACACACACACACACACACACACACACACACACACCACAGAGACAGAGATGGATATTAAATGTAGTTACCCTATAATGCAACAACAATGTCCCTAGTAGACACGACAGACTAACAAATAATTGCTGGGAAGGGTTACCTAGTTGGAGGAGTTTTTGAGCAGTGCGGTTCCACAGGCAACCACCAAACATTACAGGATATTGACTATGCTCTTCCTGACCCTCCAGATCTTGATAATAAGACTCCATTGCTGAAGCTACCATATACTTGGTAGTAAAATATTGAAAAAGCAAGCTGATACTCACCTCGCAACTTCATCCCTAGTTGGTAGCTTTCACAATGTTGGAAAATTCTGTGCATAATATTGGAGGAGAAAAATGATCATGAATCTTAATTAGATGTGAACCCTGCAAGCTATTGTAATGACTGACCTGGCAAGACATGGCCACCTGTGCAACAGTGGCATTAATATTATGGGAAGAATCAACCACTTTCTCATTGGATTTAAGGTCCACTCCACAAAATGTATAACCCATACCTGGCACTGTCATTGAGGCCAAGAATCTGTGTATAGATAAGTCATAATCCATATGGGAGGTCTGGTGTTTCAATAGCTTTCAAGCACTTTAAAATACTTCTATTGCTTTATACTCACTGTACATTCCACTGTATTTCACAAAAACAATTTCTTTCAAGTATATTGTATATATTGACCTATTCACCACTCTCCTACCTGTTCTTTCTCCCTCTCTCCCATCAAAGGACTAAGAAACATGAATTTTTGAAAATGTTTGAATATTTGAATCATCAGGAAGCTACAAATGAAAACAATATGGAGATTCCACCTGGTCAGAATGGATGTCATAAAGGAAAGAAATAAGCACAAGTGCTGATAAGGATGTCGGAAGAACACACATTACATGCTGCTAATTAACTCAGCCATCCTCTTGAGTATATAGCCTAGAAACTTTCAGAGAACTTGTCACAGAGATACTGACATATCCATGTCTTTGATGCATCATTCACCATAATAAAGTTATAGAATCAGTCTATGATGTGTTTTAAATTTGCATTCCTATGATTATTAAATCTTAATACTCACTGACATTTATTTTCTATGTTTATCTAGTCACAGTCTTTGCTCCCTTTCTTATGGAGTTGTTTTTCTTACTCATTTGAAGAAATTCTTCATAAATGATGAATCTCAGTTTTTTATTTTTGTTTATATTTATTGCAAATAATTTCTCTTGGATTGGGCTAGATTTACTTGTCTCTCTATATTTTCAAACTTTAGTAAAGTCCCATGAGTAAGAAAAGGAATATTGTTTGCATTTTGTTCCAACTGTATTGTCTCCCTCTCTCCTATACTCTCCATGTTCATGAAATCTATATACCTTCTAAGACCCTGGAAGCATGCAGTTCCATGACAGTTCATAAAGTCTTGGCTCAGCTGTTCATTTAAGTAAGTAGTTTTCTCCTATTGATACCCATATTTCATACTATGATTTGCTCATAACCTGGATTATTTTACCTAGTTGAAAGCATTATGTAAAATGGGATAAACTCAATGTTTAGAAGTTTAAATTACTCTTAGATTATGCTCTATTCTCTTACCAGGAAAGATTTGTGCAATGAACAGATTAAGAATCTCTCCTGGTGTCAAATTCTGTGTTTTGTGGGAACCTGAGAATCATTACCTAACAGCAGTGCTTGTGGGAGACAAAAGACTGGAGAACGAGTGAAGAGATGAGAGAAGATGGAAAACCATCCTCAACCAAAAGCCCATTAATGTAGAAAGCCAAAGGTAGGCAATAGTTACATTTAAAAAGAGGAACAGGGTTGAAACAACATCACTATGAATGATTCTCCAAATGGATTGGAAAAAATTAATATATGATATGATTTTTATAAAACAAATGGAACCTTCATTGGTGTGATTTTTTTTGCAATGGTGGAAATAGACTAGGTGCCATTAACAGTAGGATGGTGTCTTAGTTAGGAATACTGTTGCTGTTGATGAAATACCATAACCTTGGGAAGGATAGGGTTTATTTGACTTACACTTCTCACATCACTGCTCATCACAGAAGGAAGTCAGGACAGGAACTCAAACAAGGTAGGAGCGGGAGGCAGGATTTGATGCAGAGACCATGGAGGAGTGCTGCTAAGTAGCTTGCTCTCCATAGCTTGCTTAGTCTGCTTTCTGACAGAACATAGGACCAGCAGCCCAGAGATGACATAATCACAACAGGCTCCCCATAAACCACTAATTAAGAAAATGCTTTATAGCATTTCTGAATTTTGGGGGGCATTTTCTCAATTGAGGTTCTCTCCTTTCAGATAACTCTAACTTGTGTCAAGTTGACACAAAACTAGCCAGCATAGATGGTGATTTCGTTTCCTCTCTGTTGCTGTGATAAAATCATGACTAAAAGCAACTTAGGCAGGAAAGAGTTTATTTTATCATACAGCTTATACCCTATTATGAAGGGAAGTCTGGGCAAGAAATCAGGTCAGGAACCTGGGGCAGGACCTGAAGCAGAGGCTATGGAGGAGCGTTGCTGACAATCTTACTCTGCATCCTTGCTTAGTGTGCTTTTTTGACCAATCCAGCACAATCCACCCAGGGGTGACATCACCCACAGTAGGCTCAGCTACACAGATTCCCCTGCAGGTGGTTTGATGAGGCCTCAACTGAGGTTCCCTACTCCCCGACTGTGTAGCTTGTGTCAAGTTGACAAAAAAAGAAACAACAACAACAGAGACAAACAAACAAAAATCCCTAACCAGGACAAACTGGGTTAAAGAAAAGAATAATAAAGCCCTGAAAAATTGAAACTAGCCACTCAGATATCCTTAAAAGGATTTGGTTACCATCATGTTCCAGAATTTATCTAAGCAAGTTGTAGCTGTAGGTGTCAAATATAACTTGTGGCTTGCATAATAATCCTCATAATTAAGTAAATGTGAGATTTATCTTTCAGATATTTGTCAAGTTTAACTATACTCTCTTAATGTTTAACTTATTTCATGTGCCTAAAAACACCTGATAAGACTTTCCTGGTGCCAGCAAGCATTACTCACATATCCCTGCTGAGTTCAGTTTACTTTACCTAGAACATTTCTATTGGTTGAGAAAAACGTGGCAGGGAATATTTATACGGCAGCAGCCATCAGTTTCTGTTTTTCTTAACGTTCCATCAGAACTGGTTTTGCTTGTTTCATTGCTCTGCAAACTGTGAGTAGAAAAGAATAGATTTAGACACTACCAAGGTTTCCCCTTTCTTTGCACAATTTATATACATTTTTATGGTCGGAGTATGGTGGTGCATGACTCTATTTCCAGCATTCTGGAGGCAGAAGGAGGTAGATGTTTGTGAGTTGGAGATGAGCCTGGTCTATATAGTAAGCTCCAAGCCATCAAGGGCTACATACAGAGACCTTGTCTCAATAGTTATTTCTTATTAATTTTGTTTTCCTCCTTCTCTTGAGATTCAATGCAAAAATATTAAGGGGACATATATCTGGCCATTTTAACCTTCAAGTAGAGAGTTCTCTGGCAGATCCAGTGGAGATACTTGGCTTGATCAAACTTTGAAAAGATCAGGTTTGTCTTGAGATTGTTTGATTTATATTTTTGTTCATTTATTACTTAGACTTAAATTGCAGTTCTGATGTTAGATTCTTTGGTTGGAAATTAAAATTATAAAAAGTTTCATAGGAGACATTGCAAACATATGTTACTATAACTATAAGTTATTGTAGCTGTAAGTTACTTTCAGAAGCATAAGTGCTGGTGTTGCTCATTTCAAGAGCCACTCAATAGACAAGTTACAGAAGCTTCATTTTGGCAGAGCAAGTTATCCAAAACCTAAATTAAATTTGAAAACACACTTTGGAGAGTTTCTTATTTTTGTAAGAACAAAAATATGCAGATAAGAAAAATAAAAAATATTCTAGAGTATCTGAATATACTCTGTGCCCAATCCTCTGATGGTGGCTAGCTGGACAACCTTGAATAATTTGTTGACATATATGTAGCCCTATTTTCTCATCTGTATGTTTAAATTTGTTAAAATCCTTTTCATATGGAATTACAGGAAAATGTACTTAACTTTTTACTCTTCTTTTCCTCATATTTAATGATGTAATTTAAAAGTAAAACATCATTGAAATATTATGAAATTTTGATAACATAACCAATGTAATTTTTTCACAGTATTTATACACATAAGACATTTAAATGGTACTTGGCACATATTGACCTCCCAGTAAGTATTACTTAGTATTGTATAAAACTCACAAAATGTATTCTGTGTATTTACTTCTAGGTAAAAATTATGGATAATACAAATGAATACTTACTTAAATTTAAAGGATACAATTTTGAGAAAACTATTGTGAAAATTGAGCATTTAGAAACTATGGAAGACTTTGAAATTAGGGATGATGATGTCTTCATAATCACTTATCCAAAATCTGGTAAGTGCCAGGAGTGGACCATATGCATACACACACACACACACACACACACACACACACACACACACACACACACACACACAATTTCTTGTGTGTGAAGTCCATCAATACAGAGCAGTGCTGGAGCAATGGTTTCCTGCTGGGGAATGGAAAATCCTATGTCAGTGGTGACTTCTGAGTCACCAGGGTCAACCCTTGGAGGTCTTGATTCTTTGCTTGTACTGTGGTTGATAATCTTTAAGAGATAAATCTATCCTCCTTAAAATGTCACATGCCCATTTAAAAGTTAGTTCCTGTGTGGCTGTTGCCAAAGACTACAGACAATGGGACTGTACATGGTTTGGCCAGAAAATCTTTTCAAGGCTGAGGTGATGGGTCAGCAGTGTGTAAAGTGTATGTCTTGGTCTTGCAAGCTTGAGGACCTGAGTGGGGATCAATTGAACACTTGTAGGCCAGATGTGGTTATATGTGCCTGTAATTTTGACCTTTCTGTGGTGAGGTGGGAGACAGAGACAGGAGAACCCCAGATGGTCATGATCCAGCTGAACCCCATACTCAGGAAATGAACATATCTCAATCAAGGTTGAAGGAAATTACAGTCTGACCACCAGACATGTATGTGCCCACACTTGTATAAGAAAGTGTACATATTTTTCTCTTAAACACATTGCCCATCACATACACGTGTCCATCACACGCACATTCACCAGATAGACACCACAAATACACAGGCACATGTACAAGCATGCCAAGATAGAAATATCATTTCAAAATTGATCTCATTGTCACTTCAAGCTCTGCTTTGCCCTTTGCTTCTGCAACATTCTCATGTATCACTGAACTTCAAGACTCAGAAAACAATCAGTTCACTTTCCTGTAGATCCTGGTCTCAAGGCCTTACAAGACAAGAAAAATAGCTTGTCTTTGTACACATCAACATGTTAAACTACTGCATTTTTATAAACATTGGTGTATTGTTAAAGAAACTTTGTTCAGAGACAGAGGTTTTGGTTTTGGTTTTGGTTTTGTTTTATACTTATACAGCCAATAGCATGCACCACTGGTTGCATAGCTTTCCTTTAAAGGATCATTACTCAACAATCTTCACCTACCCAGTGCTCTGAAAGCTCCTCTTAGGTAATGTGTGTGTGTGTGTGTGTGTGTGTGTGTGTGTGTGTGT